ATGGGTCAGTGGAAGTTTTTAGTTGTCAGTACAAAACTAGATCATCGGAAATCACTTTATGATGAGTTGTAACCACAAAGAGTACATATTTATTCACCTGTTTGCAGATGTTCTTTGTACAACTTTATAATCAAATAACGGGGACTGTGACATTTCATGTCTTGTTATATCTGGTGTGGTGTTGAAAATCATTTTGCAGCAGCTTTGTTGAACTTTACTGGGATTTAAAGTCAGTTTTATTTGGCAGGGTTGTCTGAATCAGGTGACAGTTTCCGAGATCGCGTACTTGTAGAAGGCTGACTGCTTGTACAGTAATCAACTGCCTCTGTAGACGAACTTGCAATCGAGACAGCGGATGCCTTACGTTTCATGCCTCTGCTTCGAGTAGTTACGATGTTACGTTGCATAGTGAATTCAGGTGGTAGAGTTTGTAGTGAATTATCAATGAATAAAATACTTATTTAGGTAACAACAACGAAGAAATTGACTTTAAAATGGCGCCAGGAAGAAAACAACAATGAACTGCGAAGTCACATGAACAAAAATCACGCAAGATTTGTGTCATAAACACTGTTTAACATAATATTTAAACACACATTTATTTTTACTCGCTGAACAATGTTCTGTTTATGTCAGTTTTGTTTTTGTATGATTATTAGGAATACACATACAAATCAGGCGAATTATAATGAAATCATACGATAGAGATAATCTGTTGTCAAGTGGCTTAATGACTTCATTACAGTCTACAATGTAATTGTACGTCTGTAAGTTTGTACGTTCGTAACACAAAAACATATTGAACATGTACATGTATATGCAGACCCATGAACAAAATTTACGTGTATCTGTACGTTTTTGTGGTACACCTTGGATTTTGTGTAAATCAGTCCAAGAGTCTCAGAGTTATGATGCTGCATGTACACATTTTTCGCTGTTTAGTCCTCGTTTAGACGCAGTCTGAAAATGGGGACTTATGTTTTGACCTTTGTGCGTCCATCTTAAACATCCCTGGACCAATTTCAATCAAATTTCACACATACATCATACATAATATCATAATGGTATAATAATATAATGGTGGCCATTTTTGTGCTAAAAAATCATCAAAATCATGGATTTTGTTTAAACTTGGTACATACGTAGGACATTATGGAACCTTGATGCACATCATTTTATTTTGCAGATCCAATTTAAAATAGCCGACTGGTGGTTATTTTGTTTTAATTAATGCTGTTCCAAAGCAATATTTCTCAATATAGACAAGTACTCGTTTGACGATCAGATACAAGACGTCAATCATTTTAATGTTAAAAAATCATCATAATCAAGCACCATCTTTTGGATCCATACTTGTGACTTGTTTATGTTCCAACTATATTACTGTAAACAAAACTATATATCTTAAATTTGATAACTAACAGGGACTGTGCCATGCATGGCTTGTTTTTATTAAAAATGGCAGTGACTGGTAGTACCGTACTTATCCGGGTAAGAACCCATGCCTGGACAAACGCCCACCCCCCACTTTTGACACAATAAAGAAGTTGAGGTCATATCCGGGCACACGCCCAGGGGGTCTTTTTCTACACAAAACAAAAAACTATGTTCTATTCGTTGACTGTGGTTGTATTAACAGTTGACTTTCTTGAAGTCTGTCGCCTCAGCTCGTGCCAAAATCACGCCCTCATTCGTTGATCTGTTATTTGACACAAACATGGAAAACGATATGATGATAATAATAATTGCTATATTGTAATTATATCCATTTGCCGTTATGGTATTTATTATGAGTCATCGTGCACATGAACGGCAAAGAAGATTTGAAAAACAATTATTTTTTTCACGTCAATGTAGCATTGCAAGAAAACAGCGGTTGCAGCACACATAAATATGCGACGCTGACGACGGTTTGCATTCATTTCATTCATTATTACAGCATCCACCATGTATATCTACATTTGCCTTCATTATCATTTCCTACTAGTATAGTTCAGCATATGTTCTCTTAAATTCACCACAGAGGACGTGAATTTGGCTTTTGTCGAGAGTTCAGGCAGCAAATCTCGGCACATGCCGCGTTTCGGCCCCAAGCATCTTTCGGGGCTGACTCGGTCCCGATCAGTCACACACAAGTTTTAGCACATTCCCTAGTCTCAGCACGTGCCAAGATCTCTAACGCGAGCACCACTTGTATGCAAGTCTATAAGATATCCTGTGATATATATAACACTATTATTAGGCATACAGGAATACACATCTGATTATTTAAAATTAGACATTGGAGATAATTGATTGAGATAATCGGTGGCCAATGATGTCATCACAGCAGTCTAATTATAAATTGCCTTGAATATAGATAAGATTTAATCTGATGTTCAATCAACTGGACATTAGTATTTGATATGAAGAAAATCCTTGATATATATATAGATTAATTAACAATCTCCATGGCAGCCTTTAGGAACAGGAACAATTTGAAAGCCACTAATTATTAAAGATTTGAGAAGGTGGTCCAAAGGTAATTGTTTATTTATGGGAGAAAGAACAAACAATTGCTGTTAATTGTTATGGTTGCTCACAAATGTTGCTGTAAAATACTTTGTTTTAGCTGGAATTAATTTTTGCTGAAAGACTTTTTGGGTGTTTTGTATGGAATTTATTTTCACTGATTTTTGACAAGTTCATGTAAAATATAGGAAAAAAAGATATATTCGCTGGATTTAAAATTCTGCTTTCATTTAGATTTATCATGAAACTAAGTTTTTCCATTTATGTTTTCCAATATGCTTAGCTGAGGAAAATAAGGGAGGTGACAGGCGAGATATGTCTGCTGTTTCAGGAGTACACAAGCTTGCAATGAATAAATTCATGCATATTTGCATGTATAAATATCATAGTGGGAAACAAATAAGACAAAGACGAGCATGATGTCTCTGATCAGCTGCGTATTATTTAAAACATATAGACTTGTATAGAAAATGCAATTTCTGATTTCACTGTAGATCCTACATATATACTATATACAGTCAAAATCCATAGAAATACCGGTATACATGTATAATAATAATAAAAATACTTGATTATCACTGTAAAAAAAAAAAGTCTTTTTTTGGTACTTGATAAAAAGGAATTTGTTGAAATCAAAATACACAAAATCAAAATTAAATAATCACAAAAATACAATAAACATACAATATATATATTTTTGTGTCTACCACATATAAAAAAAAAAAAAATTAAATAAGACAATCTGTGACATTTTATATGATACAGTAATTCTAATTTTAAGATAATGCCACATGCTACCTGACATTTACCCCGGTGCAGTGAAAGCATTGAAGTGACAAGACTTAAATGGGCAAAGAAAATCGTACGTAGTGTTTTTTGAAAACTATGATTATGAATAATATATTTTTCAGAATATCGCAAACCTAAGTGATTGAGAAATAAAGCCAGGGGGATATAAATTCACAGTGTATAAATAACTACTAGTACCGGTACTACCAGTACAGTTTGGCTTTGGGGGAAATTTATCTCACATTTCATACCGCCTTTTGTACATGCATATTCCTGTTTAACATTCATTCCCGAGTGATTAAAATGTGTTTGAAGTATGACGAGCATTAGGTATATCTCCTGTTTATTACTCATTGTAATTAAAATTGTATTGCGAATATACCGGTAAGAATACATTTGCAAATGAACACGAGCATGGTCATGTGACTAGCTCATTTGAATTGAACTATGACGTACATCTGTTTGAGTGTTATTCATAATATACGTCAAAGTTCTTTCAAAGCTCAACGAGTGATTGTGTGTTAAGCACTGTTACATCACGTAATGTTTCTGTTTGCAAGTTAAAATAAGCGTGTTAGGAATTTTAATCATCATACATTGATGACAGGAAGGTATAAAGATCTTCATTCAAGCGAGCCTCGTTTATCATATAACAGGGTGTGTCCCACTTGTTGCAGTTTGATTTCTTCATTACTTCGTCTTGTATTTCAACAGGTATTCTGGAACTGTGGTTGTCAGTTGGTTGCTTTGAATTTCCAAATTTTAGGTAAGTGTTTGAATTACTGTAAATATGACTTTTATATTTATTTTTTTTGATAAACATTTCTCCATTACTCTACACTACATCCTGTGGTTTTAATTTGAAGGGCTGCACATATCCAGGTGTATTCATTTTTGATAAACATTTCTCCATTACTCTACACTACATCCTGTGGTTTTAATTTGAAGAGCTGCACATATCCAGGTGTATTCATTTTTGATAAACATTTCTCCATTACTCTACACTACATCCTGTGGTTTTAATTTGAAGGGCTGCACATATCCAGGTGTATTCATTTTTGATAAACATTTCTCCATTACTCTACACTACATCCTGTGGTTTTAATTTGAAGAGCTGCACATATCCAGGTGTATTCATTTTTGATAAACATTTCTCCATTACTCTACACTACATCCTGTGGTTTTAATTTGAAGGGCTGCACATATCCAGGTGTATTCATTTTTGTATTTAGTTTTTGTCTTGCCTTTAACTCTTTCACTGCCACACTTTCTTGCTCAAATTTTTCTGTACTTTTTCGATATATTCTTTAATATTTCTGCATGGATTTGAGCGAACTGACAAAATTTGAGTGAATTTTCAGTTTTTCACAATTTTCTGAAGGAAAGTGCAGACTATAAATGATTATTTTGTGAAGTTGTGCTGAAAAAAGAGAACTGGTGGTGAAATGAAATGAAAGAAAGGTGTATAGAAGTTGAACAAATTATGTCATCATCGCTTCTGTTGCTATTATTTTTTAGATTGCAAGTTCATAATAGTCCCCATTCGAACACATTCTGAAAACAGGGACTTATCTTTTGACATTTGTGCATCCGTGTGTCCGTGCATCCTGTACCTGTATCTTAGACATGCCTGGACCAATCACAATCAAACTTCACACATACATCATACATAATATTATACATATGCACATCAATTTGTTTCACGATCTGATTCAAGATGGCCATTCTGTAAAAATATGTACATGTACATTTGTTTTTCATTTTTAAAGTTTATTGTTTGACCATATTTCACTGAAAATTTCAATTTTTTTTTTTCATGAGATACATGAGGGACGTACACTTCATATACTGTGGATGGGTAGGATCATTTCTGCCATTCTGTGTAATGATTTATGAATAGATTCAGATGCATTTCATCTGCATCATAAAATTGTGGTTGAAAAAAAGACATATATTGAGGATTTATATTAGAGCATCAGTTGTTGTTTTTTAAATGTTTTTTGTGCCAGGCAACAGTTCTGGACATTGAATGTCACTGTTGTCTCTCCTGACTTTTTTTTTGTATGTGCAAGTTGCAAACGCTGACATATAGTGCATTTTTGCCACAGAAGTCATATTCATGTTTTGGGACTACACACGTGGCTATATATAGGCTGTGCAGCCATCTCTCTATCAAATGGCAATTTAATGCACTATCCTGGCGTCAATCAGGCTCGGCCCAACACAAGCACCTGCGGATCTTAACCAAGGTTCCCCCAAAGTCACATTCATTAGTGAATGAATCTCGGCCAGTGGAATTGGCCTTCCCAAAGAGTCTGTGGCACACTCACCCAGGGTAGGGGTCAACTTTTTTGATGTTCAGCCTAAGGTAGGATTCGAACTGAGGTCTGTGTGTATAAATAGTTCTTTACAATGTATGTATATATATAGAATCATAGGTGAAACTGCTTGAAGAAAGACAAACTGTTTAAATCAAAAAAAATATTCTAAATTTAACTTACTAAGTAGGCTTTGAGCATCAGTGTACGTCAGATATACATTTACGCTTTTCAAAAGTGTTGAAATGCACAAAAGATGACCAGTTATGGGAAGGTAGTTATTTTATTAGTTGTGTGATTGGCTACTATAATAAAAGATGTATGTGTTCTAATATTTCATTTTTATTTCAATTTCAAGATTTGGCAATGCAGCTAAACATGGGTATTTTTGAATACAATGGCAGATGTGGATATATTCTTAAACCAGAATTCATGAGACGTTCAAATAGACGATTTGATCCATTTGCAGAGTCAACTGTCGATGGCATTGTTGCAGGCACAGTCTCCGTCAAGGTATTAAAAATATCGGGTTTTAATCTAAGTGCTACAGTGTAACCTTGTTATAATGAACAATGTTAAAATGAATTTTATGATACATTGACGGGAAGTATGCTGGGGACATTATAAATGTTTTATAAATTTATATGAATCAAAATAGCTATTATATTTTGGTAAAAAAAAAAGTTTTTTGCCTGTTATTGGCAATGTATTGACCAATTCAAACTTCACATATAGGGAATGCAAAATGTGTTACTTACATTATGTGGATAGAGAGAGTGTATTAAGAGTGTATATTGGGGTCAAATATGTCATTTTTGGTCAAAAAGTTGTTGCCTGTTGTTGACAATACATTGCTCAATTTCAGCAACATTCACATACAATGTATTAAGAGTGTCTTTTGGTGGGTAGTCAAAATATGTCATTTTTGGTCTGCAATGCATTGATAAATTTAATTTGAACTTCACAGATATCGGTAGGTAATACAAAAAGTGTTACATATATTGATACAATCGAAGTGTCTTTTAGGGTCAAAATATAACATTTTGGTCAAATAGTAGAGTGACAAATTTTTTTGCCTGTTATTGGCAATGCATTGATCAATTCTATTCAAACTTCACATATATTGATATATACAATTTCACAACCAAAATGTTGTCATTTTGAATCAAAATATGTAATTTTTGGTCAAAGGAATAGATTGGAAATAAATTTTTTCCAGATTTATATGCCTTGCATTGACCAATTTCATTCAAACTTTGAATGTATGCTCAGTGGTATGAAACAGATTGAAGGGATATAGATTTTTGGTTCAAGCACATTTCAGGGGTATTGTTCAGGCCAAATAGGAAACTGACTTGTTCTCATGTTATGTCTTCATAATATTAGCACTATCTAACCTTTATTTTGAACAGTCACAGTACGACCACAATTTTGTATGTCACTTAAAGCGCAGTAGTCATCACAATGATTTTCCCACAATCCAATGCGCTCTTCAAATGAAATACGCAAGTATGAGGTTTGACCTGGACGTGACTTGCACTGATTACCGCCGGTGACTCCTTCGATGCCTTCCAATCACCTGAAAATTACCTAATTAAAGCTTGGAAACGTCTTAGTTTGTACTTGTTGGTCTGCTCAACAGTCAAAGTCGTCATCTTTGTTTATATGAGACCCATATAACTCGCGCATGCATGGCGCGACGACTACCGCCCTTTAAAAGCATGCATGCATGCATTGTGGACGTAGTCAGTGTTGAGCATATCACTGTGAAATATTAGAAATTGAATGAAAGCTGGTGGTTGGTTTATAAACAAAGGTACAGTTTTCTGTCCTTCATTATATGATAAACTCATTGCATGTCTTTCCCTCATAATGAACCCAATGTACATGCATTACCAGTATATCTGCTTCTTTACAGTGGACTCGTCAATTTAATTATTAAACAAACTATTATAAATTGTTTGTTATGAAAAGGTTACAATGTATTACGGGTATAATGGTAAATCTGAACAAATCAGTCTAGATTATGTGTTAATTAGGATGTTTTCCTACGCCGCTGTATATAACATGCAAAAAGTGACAATGTGTCCACTATTGAATAAAACCTCTAACAACAGTTTTTAGCTCCGCTGTTGACTTTGTCGAGCGGAGCTTATCATATGAGTGATTGTCCGTCGTCGTCTGTGTCAATGTTTTATTTTTTCGACTTCTTCTTGAAAACTACAAGCCTGAATGCTTTGATACTTGGTGTATGTGTACCTTGGGTAGACCTCTCTCAGATTTGTTCATTTTATGATATCTTCAATTCTCTAATTTTGGTGAATATTTTTGTCATTTTTGGTAAAAAGTGATATTTTCGACTTGTTGAAAACCGCAAGTCTGATTGCTTTTATATTACATATATAGGTACTACCGGGGGTACATGTGGACCTCTTTCAGATGTGGTTATTTCGTGATGATATCTTCAATTATCTAATTTTGCTGATAATTTTTGGTGAAAAGGGATATTTTTGAATTCTTGTTGAAAACAAGTCCTGTTGCTTTGATACTATACATATTGTTCATTTTCTAATGATATCTTCTGTTCTTTAATTGCAATGTGCATTGCTAACAGCGGAGCTATCTCAGCCGACAGGCTGCTTGTTTAAAGATTTGAATTATAAAGGCAACTTTGTGACCTACAAAGTATCAATGTCGCATCGTGTTTGTCATTTTCAGGTTATATCAGGCCAGTTTTTGAGTGACAAGAAGGTTAGTACCTACGTAGAAGTAGACATGTACGGCTTGCCAGCAGACACTGTTCGTAAACGCTTCAGAACCAAGACTGTGCAAGGAAATGGAATCAGCCCCATATATGACGAGGAACCTTTTGTTTTTAAAAAGGTGAGACCGCATGTACATATTAATTTACATATTAATTTACATAATTTATTTCACCATGCTTAGTTCTGATTAATATATGACTTGACATTTATCTTTAAAAAAAAGCATCTACCATTAAATTGATTCCAACTGCTATCAGAGATGACATTTAAAGCTGTGATTGTTGTGTGTCCATTGGTGCTCAAAAAAAATTGTTGTATAGAATAAAAAATTTAGCTATAAAAACTTCTTTTTGGAATGCTATCAATTTCTTCTTGTATTTAATTTGATGTAATGGTATATCATTCTTAACAGGTCGTGCTCCCAAACTTAGCAGTATTGAGGATCGCCGTACTAGAAGAAAATGGAAAATTGATAGGTCATCGTATTCTCCCATTAGAGGGACTACAACCAGGTAAAGACAAATTTGAATCTGTACAGCACCACAGACAATACATATTTTACTGTTCGGTCAAGTATAAGATGAAATATACAAACAAGTGTATTTGTCTTGCGATGGGGGGGGGGGGGGGTTTCACATCGTACTATGGATGACGTATGAATAATTATGAAAATAAAATATAGAATAATATTATGATGAATTGTAACAATTTGAGGTTTCTCCCATTTTTATTATTTATGGTACCTCATACCCGTGCAGTGGAACACCCACACTTGTGGTCAGCAACTTGTAAATCTGACTAACAAGGCCAAAGGCTCTCCACTTACATTTTTACTTCAAATAGACTATTTTTCGGTCACTTTGCGATCCTGAGTTATGCATGAAATCAAATGTAAAAACAGGAGTAACTATGGCCATAACGCTACAGTGCTTGGGATTTGACAAACATGATAATGTTTTTAGGGTTTTTCAAACCCAATAATGTGCTTTACATTTTTGATGATGGTCAATTTGGATGGAGGAAGGGTATCTCAATGCAATATTCTCCTCTCGAAAATCGACATTCCGACATTGAGCTATACAAAAGGGATCTCAAATTTAAAATCAAATCGTTTGATTTTTGACGACAAACATTTGGTCCAGGCCTTTCACACAGTTCGTGAGATCTCACAGTGAATGGTGAATCACCTATTATAAATTTTGCGTCATTTTTAATATTGAAGCATATTAATCAGCGTTTGTTTAATTTCAGGTTATCGACACATATCCCTTCGAAATGAAGCTAACCAATCATTAACGCTACCAACATTGTTTATGAAAATTAATGTCAAAGACTACGTTCCAGACACGTTAACAGACTTTGCTGCTGCTCTGGCAAATCCAATAGCCTATCAAAACATGATTGAAAAGCGAGAGAAACAGTTGCAAGAGTTGACTGAAGATTTTGAAAACGAGGTAATTGAATATTAGTCTCTGTTCAGACCCGGTACAAAAACGGATTTATATTGTGAATTGATATTTGTATATTTGTCTATTCCAATTTGTATCTCAGACAAGCCTGTACGGATCACATTCAAACTGTGGAACATATGACAAATTTTATAGAGAAAGTTTCAAATAACACTTACTGGTATTTCCTGCTGGGAAAAGTTGTTTAATATGTTTCTGGTCATCTCATGTCTATTTTTGTGGAAAACTAAATAATAAATATTTATGAAATGTAATACATTCTAGTCCACCACATTTCAAACTTCATCCAGACAGCATTACTCAATAATTTCTCAAAATTCATGAAAATATTTAATGCATTTGGCTGTTTTTCTTCAAATTTATAACTTAGAATCAGCTTGAACTCAAACACCTTTGCTAAATTTCACAAAAAAACAAACAAACAGACTTCTTCTCTACTTTGAAAAGACCCCTGTAGAATTCCCACCTTCTCTCAGTTGTTTAACACACAAAATGAAAGCAGTCAATTATTACAGCAAGGGTCAATGTATTTGTTTTAAAGGACACTGATCAACTCGACCAGTTTGGTCGAATGAAAATGCCGACAGAGAAAGACATTGTTGGTGCAGGAAATGAAGAGAATGGCAATGCTGAGCCGAATACAGCACAAAACAGTAAACAAATATTGGAATTTAAGGAATCAAATGGAAGCTCAAGTGTTAGCTACACAAAATCCAATGGAGAATATGGCTCCAAGAAGGCAAATGCCAAAGCTTTACTTACTATGAAAGAAAGCACAATGTGTTCTAAGTCAGGCCATTCTATAGGTGAGTGCCTATAATTACCATATTTAGCTACCATATGATTACAATTAGTGGAAAATATGTAGAAGGACATTGCAGTGTCGTCAAGGCCAATTCATACTTAAAGACACGTAGAACTGCTGACATACCTACACATAGTTGTGGAAAGAGAAATTTCTGATAGACGAACTATGGTTTTTCTCCATGCATATTATTTTTTTCTGATTCTAATCATGTGTCACAAAAAAATAATTTTTTATTTTTTTATTTTTATTACAGATTCAGTTCAAAATAGTGTTCCAAGGTCATCATCTCTGGCTAATACACGTCTCCTGATGGCAAGTAATTCCATAGCAGAAGAAGAGATCCATAGAACCAAGAGTGCTCCAATGCTAGATCAAGCAGGTAAGAGAAGAATTGTCATGTTTTTCATTACTACTTGTATGTTCTTGCATACTACTAAATAATGATCAAAACACCAAACTATCAGTGTATGGACTTCTATGTTTATCAATAGATGGTCTAAAAATAAGTTCTTACTGCAATGTATTGTCACACGCAACGTAATATTACCGTAATTGGTATAGTGCAGGTGTGATGGTTCAAATACCAAAATGGCAACAGTAACAGAAAGACTTCCCTGGCGGTGATGATAAAATACGAACACAGAGCCAACAGATGAGGTTTCAACTGGTACTGGTATTATTATACTCTGCAAACATCAAGTACAATAACGTGGTAAAACTCCACTACTCCAATGACTAGATACTTAAACTCCATTACTATTCAACGAGATCTACGATCTGAACTAAGTGCTGAACAACTCCCCTATATATACCCCCCACTGTCTATAAATAGACCATTACATCAGCATACATAATGAGACTGGAACTTACTACAAATTTCTAGAATGTTCCATTACCTTCTATTGCCTCCTACAGTGTTCTATTACCTATTCAACCAGTTTCTAAAAAATCTAGAATATTCCACCCAGACACAGTACGGTTCTAGAACATTCTTAGTGACACGGAAGTGGTAAATAAGTCGTATGCGACATGTATCTGCCCAACATTGCAATCACACATAAGGAAGTGTTGGCTGATTATCATTGTCAGTTGAATGCAAAGAGCAATTTATTTATTACCACTAGAGGACTCACTTTGCTTTGTGAGTACAAATGCTAAGATATTCTAAGATCTACGAAGTCAGTGGAATTATCACTACTAGAGGGATTTCTTTGTACTATGAGTACAGGTATGAAACATATTTTGTGACCTGTCATAGTGATTGGAATTATCACCACTAGAGGGCTCTCTTTGCTATGTGAGTAAACATATTCCAAGACCTATAATGTGGTTGAAATTATCACCACTAGAGGGCTTGCAACATGAAACTTTCACAGGTTACGGGCGTCTTATGTGAAGTAGGACGCAGGTAACTAATAGTCACTATATTGCTCCACTGGACTGGGATTCCAGCCCAAAGGCACGTGACTAAATGACATAATTTAAAAACATTCCAATTTTCATCCCCTGTGAACAAGTCTTCATTACTGCTATGAGCCCATGCCGATTCTTTCTGCCTTTTTATTTGAGATGATTCTGTAAGTGTGCAAAGTGATAACGAACAAAACAGTTTTATATTTGTGCAACTTTTGAGAGTAGAAGAAAAACCCTGCTTTATACATAGAACGACCACAAGCGTACGCACTGATATCCAGTAACTAAGGTTAAATAGAACAAAGAATGAAAACATCATAGACAAATCAAATGCTGGAACCATTACTAGTTACTAATCTCCTTTGGTTTGGTCCGCCATGACACTTGAGGTTGGAATCAGCCATGTGAAAAGTAGTTGGAATTATCACCACTAGAGGGCTCACTTTGCTTTTTTAAGTGTGAGTACAGATGTGAACATACTACAAGACCTGAAAAGTGGTTGGAATTATCACCACTAGAGGGCTCACTTTGCCTTTTGAGTGTGAGTGCAGATGTGAACATACTACAAGACCTGAAAAGTGGTTGGAATTATCATCACTAGAGGGCTCACTTTGCTTTGTGGGTACAGATGTGAACATACAAGACCTGAAAAGTGGTTGGAATTATCACCACTAGAGGGCTCCCTTTGTTTTGTGAGTACAGATGCGAACATACTAGAAGACCTGCAAAGTGATTGGAATTATCACCACTAAAGGGCTAAAAGTTGTTATTGTTTATATACCGGTATATTGTATATAAATGGTAGTATATGCCATAATAAAATCGTCTAGATCCTCAGAAAGTGGTCAAATAGCCACTTCCTGTTTAATGTTAATCCATTATGGCTGCCTATTCACATGACATATTGATTTTCTTTTCTCAAACTTGAAAGGTGTTACCTAGGAGATGATATATATGGATGGAGCTTCAAGTCAGTTGGCCAGCCATACATTAGAAGATGAATTTTTTGTCATTTTCACCACAAAAAACACAGATGGTCATGTGACTTTTAAAGTCTTTAACTTCTGTGTGAGTCTTTGTAGTTAGTATGTAAGTAGTGTAAAAACTCAAAAATTTAGCTTTTATTGTTTTTACCACTGATCTCTGAAGAACTGCTCAATGGATTTCAATGAAATACATTGGGACATAATAGATGATCTAGACGGGACAATGCACAGATGTAATCAATTTTCAGTTTAAATTGGTGCATATTAATCAGCTAATTTGCATAATAATTATTAATTTGTCAACTGTTATGTCAAGGATAGCTTATCATTCCATGTCAGTGAAACTTAGTACATAGATGCCATGGACGAAATTTTTTTTTTTTATGAAATCCATGTATATTAATTACCTAATTTGAATACTAATATACCAATTTTCAGCTTTTTTAATGATATCCAAAGTACCACTCAATAGATTTTAATTAAATTTAAAATGCTATGGAACAATGCACAGACCTGATTAGTTTTTAGTTGGAATCTGTGTGTATTAATTACCTATTTTACCAAAAAAATGCCTTAACAAAGAAGCTTGATATATTGGTGCTCTGAAATAAGCGATATATGCATATTTATTAGTTTTCATAAATTAACCAGTTTATAGGTGTTCAACAGATGTCTTAAGTACCACTCATCAAATTTTAACTTTGTACATTGGTGCTTTTTGGATAATCCACAGATCTGATTATATTAGTCTTGAAACCATGCATACTAATTACCTACTTTGCATAGACAAGAGGACATGTAATTTCATTAATATGCATAGCTATAATATCTCAATCGCTGTTGCAGATAAGACATGCAGCTAGTGCTATAACGGAGGCCTTTTAGAAGCGATATAGCAAATCAGATGACCATATATGGTCATGTAATCTAATTAATATGCATAACTATTAGGCAGTGCTACATGTATGATGAAGGCATTTTACAGATATCAAATGACTATATATGGTTATGTAACCTAATTAATCTGCACTAGAGTATTAGGCAGTGCTATGATGAAGGCATTTTACAGATATCAAATGACTATATATGGTTATGTAACCTAATTAATCTGCACTAGAGTATTAGGCAGTGCTATGATGAAGGCATTTTACAGATATCAAATGACCATATATGGTCATGTAACCTAATTAATATGCATAACTATACTAGGTACTGCTGATAGTGAATATGCAGCCAGTGCTATGATCAAGGCATTTTACAGATATCATGTGGTATTGTTAATATACAGAACTGTATTATCTCAAGCACAATGTACTCAATCATGCAGTTAGGGGCATCAAACCAGTGCTATAATGAAGGCATTTGACAAAAGGTAAAAGATGACCGTATATGGTCATGTGGTAAGTCATATGGTGATGATTTCAATATTTATAATTGTTATACCATAGCCATTGGGAACCAGCCTGATCACTGCTTGCAGTTATATTTGTAAATGCTGTATTTGCTCTATTAGAAGCGCAATGTGCTTATTGGGGCAAGTCTGTAGTCAAAATACTTCAATGATGGTGCATGCATTAAATGCAATTTATGTTTTATAAGTTGTGCTTCTAATACAGTAAATACAGTATTTCTTAATTGTACTTCATGCCTCCGATATCCTCAGTACATGTACAGGAGTTCTTTTTAAGCTTTCTTTGGTTATTGCTTATATCTATTGTACATTTAAAGCGGGGGAGTCGATCGTCACCTGCGCATGCGTCAGATGGCCAAAGCGTGTCATTGTTCACAAGCGTGCAACTACACATGAGGCTTTGCGTTGTTAGCATGTGTTTTTATCATCGTTTGGGAATCAATTCCCACGTGTGTGTAGGTGACGACCTTTTCGCTTTAAAGTGTATGCCATGGCATAATCAGATTTCCTAGACCCTCTGAACGTCATCAAATAGCCATTTTCTGTCTAAATTCTATTCAATATGACTTCTAAATCATGTGACATATTAGTTTTTACTTATTAAAACTCGAAAGGTCAGTCAAACCAGCCATTCTTTTCAGCATTTTTGTTAATTATATCTATTTTACATAAAGGGTAGTACTGTGAAATACTTTATTTTCGGATTGATTTAATTTTTGCAAAAGGTCATTTTGCGCGACATTAAATTTCACATCTAATTTAATATTCATAATTTATTAAGGAGCTTCACAGAAAGTGTCACAGACAATTACAAGTAGATGCAAAATAAACTACAAAATATTAAGACACAATCATTACATAAAATCATTAAATTCAAAATGAAGTTGCATTTGAAGGAAAACTACTGTAAATCAAGGCAGGTTTTATTGAACAGCAGATTAGAAGACCGATAAAATGAGATGAACCATGACACCTGGAAATACCTAATTCATTGAGTGCCTTAGTATAGAACGATGCATCCTGGCCACGCAGAGTACATTATTTTTTCACAATGGATTTATGTGTGTTGACACTGGAAATTCTGATCTCAACAGCTGTGGTGAATGCCCATTCCATTGCAATGCTATACAAAATTATTAACTTCAGTTTTGGAATGCAGTTGCTGAAACAAATGTTGTGTGAAATTGTTTTTCGTGTTCGTCCACAATGCGTCAATGACATCTATGCACCAAGAGAACAAAGTATATGGTGACACTATTTTACGCGAACGTAATATCACGCTTTCTGGCCTTTTATTACTCATGCGAAAAATAAATTCCTACGTAAATAAAGTATTTCATGGTATATGCCATGAAAAAAACAGATCGTCTTGACCCTCAGAAAATAGTCAAATATCCACTTCCTGTTTAATTTCAATCCAACATGGCTGCCAAACGAGTCAACAATCATAATCTTGAAAATTAGGTTTCCAAGCTTTCATAGTTTCAGAAGTTTTAGAAATCTACAGGTAACGGTGTTCAAGTTCTGGGCGTCAAAGAAACGGCAGAAAGAAGAAGATGAAGAAGAAGAAGAACAACAAAATCAGTCCAAACAGACTTGCGGAACCATCAATGAATTTAAGGGACACTGTTACACACAATTTTTTACTAAATCTTGAGGTAGTTTTCTTGGCGGTCTTCACACATCTCAACAGTGAGGTGGCAAGCAATAGTGTAAGTACAGTAGGAAAATTAATCCCATGCATTGCCAAGGTAAGGTCGAGAGAGAATTAGAAATGGCAAAATCAACATATGCAACTTTGAAACGAAATTGCACTTTCATGGAGAATGCTGAAATATTCAATTTGATCAATTAGATTTGCTGGTTAGGGGGTGTAATATTGAACACATATTGACTGGCCATGGGGGCAGTAGCATATGTCTTTTCCCCCACAAGGTATTTTGAGTCGTCTCAAAAATCTATTTAATATCTATTTCATAAATAGTCTGATTTTGTGGATGGTTCAAAATCCTGTGGGGGAAATGGACATACATTATTAGCAAAATAAAGTCAGTCAATACATGTTTTATAACAGACCATATTCAGATTCTGATACCCAACTTGAATTAATAATTATACACACTACTTAGACTGTAACCCATCATATATCACACAGACTCTCAATTTACAATGAACACATACAGTGGTATACACAATTTATTTCATAATAATAATGTTAGTTTCCCGTAATCTATATTCAAGCATGGGATGTGAGTAAAAACATGCAGCATTCAGTTCAACTTATGCACTTAATTGTCACCTGCTACAGAAGTGATTAGGATAGTTTTGCAGTGTAAATAAAGCCAACAATTTATAAGTTTTTTAAGGTCATTCCCTGACTCCCAAAGGTTAAAAATATCTTAGTATTCTTTCATCTGATTCATTTTCAATATGCGTATCCAAGGCCATCATTCATGAACATAACTGGTGTCAGCACTGATACATATGTGGCGACGGATGACTATTTCTAAATCAATTTGGGAATAGTTCATCATGTGCTAAGGATAGATTAATACTATATACCGGTATAACCCCATAGGACCGTATTAATCAATCTGGATACAGAATCTGAATATGGTGTGTTATAAAGAAAACTATTACGTGACTTTACCAAAATACATTCCTTTTCTTTTCCAGTTGAAATAGAGGCTGCTAACTCAACTGACATCAAGACCAATAAGGTAGAATATCATAAATGTAAAAAATAATACAACCTTGCCTAAATTAATGTTTATAATATAAATCGAAAATCATTAGTTTCATCATCATGAGACACCACATGCAGAAGATCCCAGAATTGAATATATTTTATTTTTTACATTTACTGCATATAGAAATTTGTCAAATTAGTTTCTAAGCAACAGAAAGAATTGGATAAAATGATTAAGAAGCAGGAAAAAGTACAGAGTAAACTGAAAAAGATGCAAACTCAGCAGTTAGCCAAGTTACAAGGCATCCATAACAGAAACAAAGACCGACTGCAGAAGAGGCATCATAAGTCAATGAGGAAAGCAAACAAATCAAAAGAAGGGTAAGTTAATTTTACTGATCCAGTTTATATTTTAATGTATGTAAGAAATGTCGATATAGCTCTGTCTGCAGTATTATTAATATTTATAAAACCAAGGTTGTGCTTTTTTTTATTGATCCTTCTGTTTGCTATCAGAGGCTAGAATTGGTTTAGTATCCTTCCATCATACGTAGTAATCTGCCAGTTAAGACAGCCAGCAAATTTAACATCTTAGAACAGTTTGTTATGGTAAACTTAATTGCAACAGTTGAAATGGATGGTTGTGCATGATCATGATGCGTTGAACAACATGGCTGCCATAATAGTTTCTGCCAAAACTAATTCTAGTCAGTTTTGTGATATTAGGATGCGGGCCGATCAGAGATCTCACAAAAAGTTTTTCAAAAGTTCTTTTACGGGATATGTGCAGAAAACGCCAACCCTTACCTTTCGAAGGTTTTGCTTTAGGCTATTCTAACTAAGAGTGAACTATGCCTTCAGTATTAATGGCTGCTGCACCCTGGGACACATATTGTAGTGGAAAGCGCTTAAACCAATATTGTTGTGTTTGGATGTCTTTTACCCTTATTCTTGAGATTGTGTTATAGTTATAATGATCCTTTATTTCTTCTCTTGGTACACCCAGGCCAGAGATTGTTTAACTTGTTCAATGTTTAGGATGGTTGTGTGTGTGATAAAGCATTATCTGATGGCCTCTCAAAAAGTGTTGTGTTTTGACGTGATCAGTCTTTAATGCTTTCCATACCTGAGGAAGAATTATTTTATCAGTCGAGGGCTTTCATCACCATCAATTTATTTTTTCCAGCAATCTCACAGACACTGTGAGACAGAATGATGTGGAGATGCAGACTATTCTCAATGATCAACAAGAAAAGGTAAATACATTTTATTTCATTTCATAATTATTACCTAGTCTCGTCCTGCAAGACACTGGTATAGCTGTTAATCATTAATACAAATATAGCACATGGCTTTATCATTGGATTAAGCAAATAATCTTCTAATGTGAAATTTACTTAACTGTACGTTCGTGTCTTTAAATTTGGTTTTCATGTGTGAAAATGAAAAAAATGTCATTTATGTCCAATTTGATTATAAAAATAAGTTTGATTGTTGTAAAAATAAATTGTAATAATAAGAAATATTGATGCCATAAAGGACAGCAGGGTCCAGGGCATCTATTTTATAAATAATGAGGTCAGGTACTTGTCATTGGGGTAGTTTAAATGATCAGTACCATGAGCTACAGTTTGTTTCATGTATTTTAATACCTAGTTTGATTGTCAAGATACGGTTTTCTGAATATATTATGAGACATGTGTTTATGCATATTGATTAGGTCACATGATCATATATGGTAATTTCTTATGTTAGTCATGTATATTTTCTTTTGTTCAATGCTTTCATAATAGCACAGATTGCATCTTCCTATTGCAACAGTTCTTGAGATATGAGAGTTATGCATATTAATACAGCCAACCCGGTGACCGTGTGACCTAGCCATGTGATATTTGGAGGAAAGTGGAATGAACATGCCCAATTTTAGACCAATGCACAAGTTCCATTTTCCACAAATTCCAATTTGGTGGCTATAATCACTAGACTGTTAATGATATTTTTTGTAATTTTGGAAGTGCATATTTTGCTGATGACACACAAGAAAATTGTGATTTTCAGGCTGTTACAAACAACACAATAAAAATGACCAGTTCTTTGTTCCTTTCAATCAAAAATGGCAGCCAAAATCACATGACCGCTAAAAATAATGCTACGAAAAAAAATTGGGATTTTTAGACCCATGATGAAATTTTTTGTCAAATCCAAGATGATGGGCTAAGTGATTGACCAGAAGCAGATTTTTATAGCTCAGACAAGAACCTATTCTCATGCCAAGTCTCAAAACTGCAGCTGCAAAAAAAAAAAAAAAAACATTACCCACAAAGCATCATAATCAGTTCTTTGATCAGCTTCCTCTCAATTCCAGGAAACTAAACTGAAATTGTGCATGTGCGTAGTACATAACATTGCGCAACAAGTTTCAGGTTCTCAGCTGGTTTGAACTCAAACTTGCTGAATGAAAGGCAATACAAAATTTCAGATACATGTATCTGCCAAAACAAGTGGCTGATCACCATTTGAAAATTATTTGCACTAGAATGAGCATATCAAGTTTCAGATTTCTAGCCCTAACCTTTTTATCAAGTGACTCAACAAAAAAAGTCACAGGAGAAGAAAAGATCTAACATCAGTAATAATAGGTGTCTATAGCTCTTCAGGCTTGCGTATCTAAAAATATCATCCAAATTAAAAAGAAACGCAAAACCAACTAGTTTGTTTTACGTCATGCATGTATGTCTTTGGGAACTCCTGTTGTCATGGTTATGAAATGCACATGTCACGACTTGTTTGAAGTGATAATTGTGTTGCTGCCGGGGTACATGTTAATCCCTGTTGTATTAATCAATCAGTCAGTCTGTGATGATATATATTGTCCTGTGTATAATTAGTGACATATAATCACATCAACCATCTAATGTATTCCATCTGCTCATAGTGCTAGACAGTTAAATTGTTTATGAATTGCTCGAGGGGAAAGAAAATGAAAAGCTTGATGGATTTTCGGCTCTGTTACAATATAATACATTATAAGCACACTGAATCCCATTTATTAATGCCGTGCAACATGGTTATGTTGAAAAGACGAGTCTTAAAAATAGGCAAAGGGTCATGTTTCAGATGTACCCCGGTACTTTCTTTTTATGAAAATTATTATTGAATTTTATTGAATGATGATGACATGTATCATTCTGGAATTCAACAAGTGATTTAAGTTTCATTTAATTTTGAATGAATAAATCTTCTCTTCCATCAGTTAACAGAATATTTAATCTACTTGAAAATCTAAAACTAGTATGCTTTGCTTTTTATTTTCAATACATAAAATTACCTTGTGTTGAGAGCTCTATTGGATTTGCTCATTTCATGACGAAATCTACAATTTTTTTATTTAGCTCCGCTGTCGACAAAGTTGACACAGCGGAGCTGTGCATTTTACTGATTGTCTGTCGTCGTCCGTTATCGTCGTCAGCTTTACATTTTCAACTTCTTCTTCGAAACCGCAAGTTAGAATGTTTTCAAATTTGATTTGATGGTGCAAGTACCTTAGATGGTTCTTTTTCAGATTTGTTTTTTTCATGTCAAAATCTCAAATTTTCTATTTTTGGTGAATATTTTTGTAATTTGTGGTAAAAAGTGATATTTTCAGCTTCTTGTTAAAAACCGCAATTCCAATTGCTTTGATACTACATATATAGATACTGCATGTGGACCTTTCTCATATTTGTTTATTTCGTGATGATATCTTTAATTCTCTAATTTTGGTGAATATTTTTGTAAATAGCAGAAATTGGTTTACTACTTGCACTGCCGTGATGTTATGTTTGCATGTACCAAGTATTTGAAACGAACACTATTTCTGCAATATAGTTTGAATAATGAAAAATAATCTGTTTGACCATTTAGTTGTTTAATACCATACTTCATTCAACTGACAAGTGGTTTCCAAATTGTAAAGAGTATGTTGTTTATAAGAAGTTATTTGATTGGTTTCCCAGTCGCTACAGATAATCAAAATAAATTTGTTACACGCATCGCTGCAGTGCTTATAGCCACTCCATTAAAAATATCCAATTCTATAGAGGGTATAGGATTTATGACATAAGTGAAAGGTCACGGCTTTGTTACAACCATGACAACTGGGAAAGTTTCACACTGTGTTGTCATTCCCGTGAGGCAATTGGTCATTACGGTACTCAAAATTAATTTGATGATTAGTTATATGTTGATTTCCTTGAGGCACACATTGGTGAATAGGAAGAGGATTGATGATATCATCAACATATTTTTTCTAATGTTAAAATAGTGCAAATAGTGCATTTATTGTATTCTGAATCAATAAAATATCACTTATTTTGACCATAGAATTACATGTTCGGATATTAACTTAATGGCAATTAATTTCTCTCAAGTTTTAATTTCTCCTGTGGCTCAAAATGCTTGACATTTATATATATATTTATTATTACTATAACCCAACGATATTTTCACTTAGGTTGACATCAACAGACATGAGTCATTATCGTCAGAGTTTTGAATCAATCTAGAATAACACTGAATAAAATATATCATTGCGTGCACTTTGTATGCTAATTATGTTGATGCGAATATATTGCATATGCCGGTACTGAAATTTGTTAGGGTTTTTAAAAATTTTATCGATATTATGTCATATCTCAAATTGTAGGCTGGTATCATAAGCTTGAAAAATCATATATTGTAAATGATGGGGTAATTTTTGCATTCTTTCTTTAACATTGTGTTTTATGGAATTCTTCTAAAAATATCGATTTTTGAAAAATATTAGGACAAGTTTCTCAAAAAACGTCACTGTAGCATACAAGTGAATTCTACTTATTGTGCCATGAGACAATAACTCCATGATTGTACATAAGGCCAAAAAAAAAAATGTTTTGTTGCCTTCAGCGACTGACCGAAAAATATGAAATATCGGGTCGCGTTTTTGTTTTCCCATATACCTCGGCTATTTACAATACCGATACCCTTAGTTTTCACGAGTTTAAAAAAAATAAAGAAAAACAATCTGACCGACCCAATTTTTCAATTTTCCGACTTGAGGGCAACATAAGTTGTTGTTTTTTTTGGCCTAATAAACCAATGAACATTGTCATGTGATTTATGACCAACTTTCTAAAACATAATGAGTGGACTAAGCTTCTACCTTTAATGCATTTAGAGTATACCAGTATATATATCAAGATTAAGTGATATTAAAAGCGGCGTATATTTTTTTTTCCTTAGGTGATAGATCTTAAAAAAACTCATTCAAACATACTGATAGACATGTACAAGGAGCATTATAACTTGGAACAGCAGATGAGAAAGAAGCATATGCAAGCTAAAAATGAACTGCTACGAAATATCATGGTGAACACACATGATAACCAACTTAAAGATATGGATAAATTTCACAAAAGGTATGTTCAGGGTTATAAAACAAATTTACTCTTCTTGAGTCAAATTACTGTAAATGGAAGGAATGTTACCGGGTAAATGCATCATCCGCACAGCACACTCATGCTGCGTTATACTGCCACCATACTCACATTTTGAAAATCTTTCTTTTTTTTTTACCTTTAAAAGCGAGTTGTTCTTGTCTGATGTTATGCGTGCAGTAACTTGTTGTACACAAAATATGTGCTTTCATTTGATTTGGCAACATGAAAACCATCATTGTGAAAAAAGTGTTAAAATGTTCAATCTTATCTTTATAATCAGAGAAGAATCAGAGCTGCAGAAAAGAATGTTTGTTCAGAACCGAGAAGAGATGAAAACGCTAAACAAAAGAATTAAAAACAAACAGGAAATGCAGAGGTGAGTCATTTTCACCAGATCCTTGTAAATTCTATATGTATAAAACAATCATATTGTATATTTTTTTCTCTTTATAAAAGCAATACCAACATTATGGCCTTTGTTACATATGTGTGGTCCAATTTTATGTAAACATTGTTTTTTATGATTCTACTACTTTGTTTGTCATCAAAACTTATTGATTTGAGCTGATTTAATATTTGAGCCTGCATTTATATGTATTCAACATCACAGATGTTATATTTGTGTCTCTTTTCGTTTATAAACCATTCACACCTTTACATCACTTACGCACAGCATACAACATGTGGGAAAAGTCACATTAGAATGGTCTTACTAAAGTTTTCATGTTAAAACTTTTCTTTGTATAGCATGTACAACCAGCACATGCAATTCTAAACTAAAGTGACATTAAAAAAACAACTTGATCATCTGAGTAAAACCAGGGCAGCCAAAATATCATGTTGTGTAGACTGATCATGAACTTCTGAAATACTTGATGTATGAAAACAAATAAAACACCAAACTTTTATGAGCTGGCATTTAGATTCAAGATAATAAAAAAAAATTAAAAAAGAAATTGCACATGTTCATTCTTTGAATACAAATGAGAAAGAGGCAACCGTAGTTCACTCATGTAATCATAGATCTCCTAGGGGAGGTCTATGCTGTGATGTATACATGGTAATTTGTTTAACAAGAACATAAAGTACCGTAATACAGTCAAGATGCCATTGACATCGATTTTAACGTTTCTTGTGTATATACATGTCCTTTTCAAATTACAAAGATCATACACATAACCCAGCTTTCAACACATGCAGTAATGTTACATAAATTTGAGTCTCCAGTTGCCTTTGAATTTGACGCACTGTACGTCACCTGCACTTGTCATATATTGGTGTAAACAGTACATAATAGATTGTAACGCAGAGAATCATGTATTCATGGCTGACGGAGTGTCTTCTAGCTATTTCTGATGTATTTTATACATATTGAATATAAAAACTGGATTCGTGCATATTTATAATGAAAATACTATTTTTAACTTTCCTTATAGATTGAAAAGAGAATTTCAGCAGAAACACATAAATCAAGCTGTAACAGCCAGAAAGACAGTAAGTTGAATTGAAAAAGGCAATGTGGATATATACATTTTTTAGTATGTCTAAATGGGTTTGTGTGATATTGTTGTGTATATATTGTATATCAGCCCATGGATTTTCTCAACGGTTCCTGGGTCTTTGTTTCAAACATACTGTGGAATACTTTATTTTCGCTGGAATTAATTTTCGCTGAAAAGGCTTTTTGGGCATTTTGTATGGAATTTATTTTCACTGATTTTTTATGAGTTTAATGTGAAATATAGGAAAAAAAGTATATTCGCTGGATTTTATTTTCACGGAATCACCCTTTCAGCGAAAATAGCGAAAATAAATTCCAAGCGAAAATAAAGTATTGTACAGTAGTTGATACATGATAATAGTAGCTTCTCGATGAGTGGCTTTTACAGCGAGTAGTTTTTGCAGCGAGTAGGGCTTTGTCACAGTAACTGGTCCTCTAATCAAAGATGAGAATTAATGTTTATTGTGCCATTAACAACTGGCGTTAATCTTGGTAACAAAATAGCAACTGGTCACCATGTTTTAATGTTATCTGTGCAGAGCACGATCTCCAAGTTCGGCAGACCAAACTTGGTCCACTGATATTTGTGTTTATGCACATGATCAAACTTGAATTGGATTATATATCCAATCCAAGATGGCTGACTATCGACAGTAGACGTTTTTTCACACAATTCTACTTATATCTCTCAAATGCATAAAATAGCCAATTGTGTTGTAAGTCTAGTAAACTCTGATCTGCTTCCTGTACTTGCAACATTATAGAAATTCAAGTTTATACTTTTAATACATTCTGACCATTTGTTTTACAATTAAGTATAAGAGTAGAAATGGCATTCTCAATAACTTGTATAATTAGCTAACATTTCTTTAAACTGACTTCTCAATATACATTTATACCTTAACAACAACAAAAAGTTTTAGTTTAAATAAATCAAAATACTGTCAGTCAACATTTTCAATCACTGCAACTGCACCAGTTTAATTCAAAAGTGCTGTGTATCTTATCTTTACAGCTGACTGAATTCCAAGAAAGAAAGAGGAAACAGCTTGAACGTGCGATGAAAAATGTACAGGAGAAATTGACTGAAGAGGAAAACAAAGTAGGTTGATCTTAATTTAATTATTATCAGCTTATAAATTATTATAATTTTCATCCCTCATCACACCCTGTACTATTCAATATGAGTCCCATGTATGATGCAAATGTTTACACTGAATGATAATTTATAAGTATGAGCTTCATTAATGCTGATAATTACTTTTTTGTCGCTGGAATTTATTTTCACCAAAAACCACAATTTGTGTTGATGTCACATATTTCACTGATTTGTCATAAAGTTCATGCAAACCATAAACAAGTATTTTGGTATTCACCATCATTGATTAATCACTAAATTTATTGAAAAAAAATAACATAATGGAAAGTTTTTGTCCAAGTTTACAAGCGTGTAAAATGGGGAAAAAGCCTTACGTAATCAAAAAATATCATATAAATTATGGAATGTGCAGCCATTGTGATATTCGTATTTTACTATTCTTTTAGTGACACTTGCAATTCAGTTTATATTGTCAATATCTTTCAATTAAACTGAAATTAAACTATTTCATATTGGAAATAGTCAGCATATGTGGTAATATTTGGCTGGTAATGTTATACATGTACTGTTGTCTGTATGGCCGTCCATTCGTCAATCCACTCGCCCATTTTGAGTCAAAATTTGTTGTCTCAAGAGCTTCTGGTTGAATTTAAATTAAACTTGCCGCACAGCTACTTTTATTATGGGCATCAGACCTGATTTGATTTTTTACAAATCTGTGCATGTTAATTAGGTAATTTGCATAATAATTAACCAGTTAATGTATGTTTGTTTTGTTGCTTAAATGCATTGAAACTTTTGCATGATTGCTAATTGTCCGATAATAGCTAACTAATGTGCATATTAATTAGATAATTTGCATACATATTATACTGTTTTCAGTTTGTTTATTTGGTACATCGTACATGCATATCACTCGTACAGATGATAGTCTGATATATGTTTCCAATTGATCCGTTCATTTCAATTACGTAAATTGCACACTAATTACAATATACTTCATATGCTTTTGAAGTTGGTTTACTATTAAATAAAGTTAAGGTAGAGATGCAGGTTTGTGGGCACTTGGGAGTGAATTTTTTTCTTTTTTGCATTTTATTATCCAAACAGTCTTGGCTATAGACTGTTAAAATTTTGTAGAATTGTGAATAGTGGAACATACTCAAAAAACGATTTTAAAATATAGATAACAGGTGCAAACATTCTCTCTTTTGAATGCTTAGCAAGATTTAGCAAGGCTGTACATGAATAATAAAAAAGAAACATGGTGTAAAAAAGAAATGATGGGATCTCCATACTATGCTCTATATTTAACTTTTTACAAAATAATAATACATTTAAATTTGGAATTGTTACAGCCATTTTAATTATGAGCATTAGCAAACTTCTTACTGAGTGAATTGTTATGCAAATTAGCAATTATCTCAGCTTCTTTTTAGTGCACATCCCAGAACTTTAAAAAAAAATAGCTCCTAGACGCTTTGACCTTTTGTTTTGAAATTTTCACAAATGATTGATAATGTGTTTATCTTCAAAACGCCGTCGAAGCATTGTTTTTGGTTGAACAGTGTTACAACAATCTTACAGACAACTAGCCTGTGGGTTAATTTATGCATAAATTTGAAGTAGTGAAATTTGAGCTGCTGCCCTACAAAATTGACAACTGGTAGACAGTTTTCAAGACGGCACTTTCTTCATAGTAAACAAATGTACCCATAAACCAATTTTGACAGGAAACAGAAGCATGGTTTTGGAGCTAATTTTTTTTACATCACTTTTGACCAAAAAAGCACATTTTTGTGCATATTTCAAACTACAGTGTACATAACAAAGAAATACTAACAAAATTTTAAAATTCATACAATAAGCTTTTCGAAAATATATAGTTTTGTGGACAAGGGAGGTCATCTTGGTTTCCTAATTAACTAATTAAAATACCTGTCTGGTAAACTGCATCTCTACCTTAAGCAAATTTATGAACAATGGCATGATTGTTGTTAGTTTTGAAATATTGTTGACAAACCTGTTGAGATAGACACACATCGCAATTACTAGTTCATCTGCCGTCACCATGTTTCACAATTGATAAAGAATGGCAACTTGGTATGAATTCATTCTAAAAATTGTGGGAATTATTTGCCAATTTTAAGATTTTAACTACAGTTGATGTTTCAAAATACACAACATACACAATTTTGCCAGAAGCTGACTTTGAATGACAGATGGTTGCAATGTCTAAAGTTGAGTCATTATGTCGGACTTATATCTGATGTTTATTTTGGGAAGTACGTACACATGTACACCTATATGAACTTTCATTGTAAACAAACAGGGACTATGTCATGATTTTATTTATTGTGCAGATCAGTGCTATTTCCTCTTTTAATATAAATTGTACATCACTTCTGTACAAATTTGTTGACTGTCCAGTTTCACTAATTGACCTTCGATTTTTAACATTCATAAACAAGCATTTGTTGAAAGCCATATAACATACATTCTCATTTTATCCACCTTCAGTCACTACAAGATATACAAGATCAATTTAAGCGACGAAATGCTAACCTTGAGCGAGAGGTCCTACGAGAACAAGGCCTATTAGACGTTGAAGTCAACAATCGCAATGAGACAGATACAGGCGCTGAATTGTCAATTGATGATATTGATAGAATTGAAATACTGTCATCGTAGGAATAAATAATTTACATAAAGCAGGATTATATTTGTTGGTGTTGTGCTGGGAACACTGCAGATGAACAAAACATAAAGTAATTCAACATGTTAGTGCACATGTACTTATTCATTAAATATTAACTTTTTTTAATATAATGCAACACAGGTTTTAATATATAATGAAAAACTTTCATAAACCTGGTTTTAGCACTTTACAAAATAGTAATCATATCACACAGGTGTTTTGAATTATGATTCATTGACACTAAACCAAACAATCATATCTTTAATTGATCGCAGCACAATATACTCTATGTACGTCACACAATATATCAGAGTTTTAGTATTTCCACCTAGTAATTTTAATTTTTTTATATACTTATTTATCTCTATAAATGTAGAGTTATGTTGTGGAAAGTAGAAAATTATCTTGAATTCAGAAATGGTGCTGTCTTCATATCTTGTTACGGTGCATGTGTTAACAACAGTATTAATAACATTTTGTTTCACAAACAGTCATTGTTACAGTATTTACAGGTTGTATTTGTTACATGTTATTTTTGTACACTTAATTTTGTATTAAATGAGCTAAAAATATGGGATAAATATGAACATATTGAGTTGGGAAAGCTAATTTTATAGCATTTTGTCATTTTTTTCTATTAACCCTTGAGCATCAGTCAACTTTTGTTACTCCTTTTTAAACAACTCTATTTATGTTCTCAAAATTATTGGTGTCAAGAATCTATCAATATTTCAGAATTATGTGAAACAACATGGAGTGAACTAAGCATTAGGTAAACATCCTAATACAGGGTCTTGTTTATTTTTATCATTAAAACACCAAATTTTGTAATTGAAGTCTTGAAATAATTCAAATTCAACTTCAACAAATTTGACAAGATTTGATATTTTTATATGTTAGTGTATTCATGGCCTTTGTAGTGCTGTGGAAATTAATTCCTATTTTAGGAAAAGTGGGGACATCAGGGATTTGTCAGCGCATTTGGCTAAAATAAATACAAGCCGGTAGGCTCGTTGGCGATCCGCTCCACTAAAAAAAAAAGCAACATGTTTTCGGCTGTTGCCATGGTAGGACATGAACGTGAAGCTAATGTCAATTTATAACTAAAACTGGGTTCCGTATACGAAGTTTGCAAAAACGTTCAGTCTTTAGAAGTCATTTTTTTATTACTAGGACGTAATCTGCTGCTACATTTATTATTTCCAACCGTTTTGCGATAGTATTTTTTAGATTGGAGACAGCATTTACAGTTCATTCAAAGTTGCGTTGGGATTACGTTGATACAGTGTAACAATGTCGGCGCCGGTGATATCTTACCAGTGCGCAACATAGCCAAAATAAAAAGAATAATCATTTGAACACTGCTATTACAAGACTGGTATTAAATTTAGGGCGAAAGTATCCAAACATCAGTTTTCGGCAGTTGCCATGGCAGCGGTGGGTCAAGACATTTTTTCCAATTAGTGACGGTATGACCTGACTGTCAAATATGAACAAAATCAGCCAAGCCAAAAAAATCTGAGAAGTTAAAAGCCTTTGCTGGTGAAAAGTTACCCCAACTTTGAGGTCAATTTTCTCGGTAATGAAAACAGTACATTTTTGCCCACACTCAGATGAGTGGAATGAGCTACGTCCATGCTTTTTAATCGTAGAAATGTAGAGTGGCGCGAAGGTATTAAAAAAATCATTTTTTTGGCTGTTGCCATGGAAACAATGGGCCAGAATTTGTTTTCAGATTTTACAACCTAACTAGAGTAAAGGTGTGACTTGCCTGCCAAGTTTGAACCAAATTGGCCCAGCCAAAAAAATCACAGAAGAGTTAAAAAGCCATTTCTGGTGAAATTTCTCGGTTATGAAAAACGATAATCAAATATTCAAATAGTAACTTTGTGCCCACACTCAAGCTAAGTAGTATGAGTTAAGTCTGAGGTGTTTTATGTCTAAGGTGTTTTATCATAAATTTGTAGGAGGAGATACATTTGGCACAAAGCTATCCACAAATAATTTTTTTGGCTGTTGCTATGACAACAATGGGCCAAATTGTTTTTCACATTTTACCTAATAACTAGAATGATGGTGTGACCTGCCTGCCAAGTTTGAGCGAAATCGGCCAAGCCAAAAAAATCACAGAAGAATTAATACATGAAAACACTGGAAATCACACACACACACACACACACACAAGTGATTTTAAGGGCAATCCTAGCGGAGCAGATCGCCAACAAACAATTATTACAATTATTCAAAAGAATTTATTTTCAAGATGAAAGTTTGGTGGCGCTATATCACCATGAGGGGGAGCTGTGCACATTTCTGACAAAGTTTGAATTTTAGCTAATCCGAAAGGACATGCCTTTCAATAAGATAAAGCAAGAATCTGGCTATCAAATATTGCAATCAGGAAAAGTAAACATTCTCTGTTTGCCTAGCTAATAGCAGTATAATAGAGTAGAAAAGCCAGGAATCAATGAATTTACTGACATTTTATTTGACTTTTCAGCCTACAAGCCAGTTTAATTGCTGAACTAATATTGACTATTTTGTTTTTCTTAAAAGTGTAAAATTACCTCTTTTATTCATTCCAGCCAGTAGAAATTTACAACGTGATGATGAATATTTCTTTGTGAGCTTCATCTAAAAGATGACACTTGTGTACTTACCAGTACATAGAAGGAATATACTTTATGGAAAAGTACAAATGACTTCATCAGTTAAAATGTACAGCTACAGAATTTACAAATAATTTACACTTGGGACCCATGCAGACATGGTAATAGACAGTATAACTACTAATTAGACAATGGATGGTGATTCAATTAAGAAGGTCATCTTCGTATATAGTGTAGCTTTACTCCCGAGACACATGAAAGATTACTACATTTTGTGAAATATTCTTATTAGCCAAATTGTATATTATGTATCTAGAATTGTCAGAACTGTGGTGAACCTTTGTATTTTCATAATCAGAAGCTAGTTTTTAACTTTTGTTAGAATTAATATCTTGCTTTGTTAGTATTTTACTGGTTGCCATGGTGATGTATATTTTCAATTTAAAATATGCTGGATCACAGAAGAGAAAATGATTTTATTTCTTTACTTAAAGCACTCAATAAGTGTAATTTGTTCATATGATTTATTTATTTATTTATTTATCAATTCAGAAGTCCAATGATTATATTATATTAACCATTTAAGCATATACCTTGTGTGCTCAGAATATTAATTTTCTTATCAATTCTCTAAATAAATAAATGGTATTTTCAAAATGATACCGGAATGTTGTCATTATTGGTAAACTCACATCACACAAAAAAGATGTTTCAAATACTGGTGAAGTTGTACTCTTATTTCTAACACAACAGGGTTGTTTCCACCAATCAGATCGCAGGATTCACTCGTATTCCTAATATGGATGGGTTGTTTCCACCAATCAGATAACAGGATTCAGTCTCATTTCTCTGTATAGATTCCAGCTAAAATAAAACATTTTTGACTCTCGTGTGCGAAGCACACAATGGGAGTCTTTGCAGTTAGTGTGTCTGTACATGTATGTGTGTCCATCTGTTCCACTGACATCTCAAGAACCATACATCGGTTTTTGATGAAACTTGGTGCATAGATGCTCTGGGCCAATGCGCAGATTTGATTGGGTTTTGGTTAAAACCCATGCATATTAACTACCTAATTTGCATGATAATTAGCTAATTTTTAGCTGTTCCATGACTTCCACTGATATCTGAAGAACCACTCATTGGATTTTGATGAAACTTGGCACATTGATGCTCTGAACTAATGCGCAGATTATATTAGTTTTGGGTAAATCCATGAATATTAATTACCTAATTTGCATGATAATTAACTGATTTTAAGCTGTTCCATGACTGTTCCCCTGATATTTTAAGAACCACTCATTGGATTTTGATGAAACTTGGCACATGGATGCTCTGAACTAATGCACAGATTTGATTAGTTTTGGGTAAAAATCTGTTTATATTAATTACCTAATTTGCTCAATGATTAATTACTTTTTGGCTTTTCCACTGATATCTCAAGTACTAATCATAACATTTCAATAAAACTTGGTACATAGATGTCATATGACACTTTACAGACCTGATAGTTTTTAGGGTAATGAGATTTGCGACATAGATCTTCTAGGACTATGCAGAGACCTGATTAATTTTGGGGTAAATAATGGTGCATATTAATTACCTAATTTGCATAATTAGTTAATTTTTTGCTGTTCCATGGCTTTTGCACTGATGTCTAAAGAACCACTCATTGGATTTTAATGACACTTTTAAAGAGTACTCATCATCACATTTCAATGAACCTAGGACTATACACCATATTAGTTTTTGGTAAATATTTATGCTTCTTAATCACCTAATTAACATAATTAATTAATACTGGTATCTCAAGTACTGAACATCACATTTGAATAAAAATTTGGTACATAAATGCTCTAGGACAATAGACAGCCTGATTAATTTTGGATTAAATCTGTCCATATTAATTCTGTGCAGACTTTATTAGTTTTACTTTTAAATCTGTTCATAGTAGTTACCTTATTTGCATAAGCTTTTCCATCAATATCTCAAGTTCAAGTAATTTTGAATTAATTTTTAATGTGTCTCCAATACTCTCAGCACACAGGAGTTCTTTCTAAGCTTTCTTTGATTAGTCATAGAAATAAGTGGACAAAATGAAGAACGTTTATACTGCTGATAAAAAGAATCAGCTCTCAAGACTTGTCAATTAGATCAATATAGTAAACTGATAATAAAAAGTGACAAGTACAGAGTACTTTTCCTGCCTTTTTCAAATCTGGCTATTATTTTATTTTGCTTAAATATATTACTGCACTATTATTTGAGAACAATTTTCTTTGTTCTTCTCAATTTTAGCCAGTAGCCAGCATGTTTTGATATATTATTGCATTATATCAGGACTTTTATACTCGCTTTTTGCCATGTAAAAAGAAGACTGTGCATTGCTAGTTTGTATCAATCCATCTATCCATTCATTCATCCATTTGTTATTTAATCTAGATTCTCAATGGGCAATGTTGTAATAGTTACGCTATGTT